GACTGAAACCAATATTACTTTAAACTTGGAACATTCCTGTGCCGAACTCCACACAAGCACAGAAGAGGCACTGCATTATTTCAGCCAGGCTCTGCAGCATCTGTAAAGATTGGGCACTTTAGTGGGGCTTTTTTGGCACTTTTATCTAATAGCCGATTGAATTGGTTCTAGCTAAATGTGCCAAAAAGCCCTGCTGAAGCACCAAACTGGTTCTTGACACTGCAGAGCCAGACTGAAGTAATGCACTTCTGCTTTCAGTAAGGGATGTTTTTTTTTAACGTCTGGAAGCAGAAAGCAGCTGTGGCTTGTGAGAGCTGAACACCTACTAATCTTTTGGGTGGGTGCCTGGAGCGCCTATGCATTTGACTTTCTGATATATGTAGAGAAGTTTTTAAACTTTTTGTTAGCCTGATCAGGAGAGTAAGAGTCTTTTCCTTTTTTGGCTCAGTGCGAATAAGCTCTGTGGTTTTTTGGCATGCATTGTAAAGGTTAGAGTGCTTGTCTGCTGAGTTTTTTTCTTTATGGAACTCAGAAGTGAGTTGTAGTGTGTGTAGGGGGTCAGAATAAAGGGTGTTACTTGCATCAGAGTGGTAAGTTAGGGGCAACTTGCAAAGCCTAGTCCTGGAGTCTGCCTCTAATGCTGCAGTGTTGCTTTTGTCAGGCTTCGCAAATGTAAACTGGGATGGGGCACTGGCAGAGAGAGTGAGATGGGCTAAGAGAGAAAGTATGTTTGCAGGTACAGTAATAAACAAAATATGGAAAGAGATCAGAAACAGGACAAAGTACTTGGATTCATGCATCGGGAGCAATATGACTAGTGTACATACTGTTTGCAAGCAGCAGCAGATCCAGGAACGGGGCAAGTAGCATGTGGCTTCCCCCCCCCCAAGCTTGCCTATGCTATACATACACACTGAGCCCATCAGCTGCTTGGGGCTTTCACATACTCTGGAGCCCAGGGGGTGAATGCTGCTACTTTTGGCCTTTCCCCTCCCTCCCTCTCCCCTCTGAATTCGGCATCAGGGAAGGGAGGGGATGAGTGGCAGCAGCAGCTCTCACCTCTTGGGCTCTGGAGCTGCACAAAAGCAGGAGATCTGACCAGACCATAGGCCAAGAGTTCACATATGGCACAGCTGAAGGGGGGTGCAAAGCAAACCTGCCATTGCACTCCCTTTTATCCACCCCATTTGTGAGGAATGGAGGAGGCTGTCTCTGAGGAAGGTGGGAGGGTGCAAGTTTTTGACGCAAGACATTTCTGGGAGCAGAACTGGAAAGGTTACACCCTCTAAGTAACAGTGGGCTTGTCTAGGCAAACTTGATGAAGAGTAAGTAGAATTTAATGAAGAAGCTAGAGAGATTAGAGATGGATTTAAGTGGAAGTGAATGAATAACAAAAGTTGAAAGGGACCAGCGCTGTAAAGCCTGCCAAATACCCTTTAGGCTTAAAATTACTTTATTTGGGAGCAGAGGAAACGAACTGAATCTGTGCCTGTTGCACATACTTTTTATTGAGCCAAATGTCACATGGTAAACAGTATTTTCCATCTGTTCTTTTTCAAGTCTCATTTGTAATCACACCCACCTTTAGGTGCACACTTCATTTTGAAGATGGCACCAAGCTGAGTATGTGACAGTAGGGTAGAGGGGCTAGGATTCAGAATGACTCATAAATTGGAAAATGGTCTGAAATAAACAGGTAAAATTCAGTGAGGGGCTACAAAGTACTGTGTTTAGAAAGGAGCAGTGAAATACACAAATACAACAGGGAACAACTGCCCAGGCTGTGGTTCTGCAGAAGAGAACTTGGGGATTATAATGGATCACAAGCTGAATGAGAATCTATAATTAAGTGTGATATTGTTGCAAAAAAAGCTAGTAGTTTACCAAGGTGTGTAAAGAAGAGTATCACATGCAAGGCAAGAAATATGATTTTTCGATTCTAATGAGGCCTTACCAGCAGGGATCTGGGTTTTCTGTTTGCCGTGGTAAACCCAGATTTTCCCCTTCAAAGGAGAAAAACACAGGAGCAGTGGGTTTCCCCTTGCAGGCTGGCAGAGTTCCAGCTGGGGCTTGGGCACTACTGTGGGGGGCAGGGGGTGTGGATCCAGGTCCCTGACTCTGTAGCCCTGGTAGCTGGGGGCCCCCTCTGGCAGGACTGGGGAGTGAGGGGCAACAGCAGGGCCTGGGGGCTGTGGCTTGAGAGGGAGGGGCAATGGTATGGGCAGGGCACCAGCATATCAGGGCTGCTCAGTGCCAGAAAGCAGTGGCGGGGGACAGCTTTAGCTGGACCTGTGTCCTGGTGAGTGAAGGGGGCAGGGGGACCTCTGATTTTCCATGATAAACCCAAAATCAGATAGCAAAATGTATAGGTATTTACAATTTATTTTATTATAGTGATTGAGGCACTGGTAGGCTTCCAAATTGCTTTAACATTGTAAATATATCAATATTTACAAGTTGTATTCAACTGATACATACGTGCGTGTGTGTGTGTGTGTGTGAGTGTGAGTGAGAGAGAGAGAGCTATATATACACACACAGTAGAGTTTCATTTTAATCGCAGATTTGGGTTTTTTTAATCAGAGAATCTGCAAGGTTTTTATCAACAATTTTTAAACAGAGAAAACCAGGATCCCTGCTTATCAGGAGTGTTGTGTCCAGGTTTTGAGTACTGCACTTCAGGAAAAACAAATTGGCAAATTGGCTGGATATCTAGAAAATATGATGTATGAGAACAGGTTGGACAGAGGGAGATTTATTTAGTCTAGAGAAGGTTGAGGACGATATGATGATATATGTCTTCAAATACTAAAAGGTTGCCTATGAGTTGTTTTTTATGTCTGCAGGGGACAGGACAGAAGTAATGGGCATAAATTGCAATAAGGGAGACTAAGAATTTTCTAAGTATAAGTCTGGGTAAGCACTGGAACAAAGACACCTAGTGAGGCTGTGGAATCTCTGTCAGTGGGTTTGACATGCAGGTTAGACAAACATTTGTTGGTGATGTTTTAGAGGTGATCTTGCCTTCATCAGGGGGTTGAACTAGACCTGGGCTGTCTAACTTTGCTGCGGCCAGACATTGCACTCAGTTTCAGGAAGCATACCGTGGAGGTTACACACTGTGGGTGCACCCACTCCAGCATCCCTCACACACTGCACCAGTGGAGTGCAGCCAGTGGCATGTTGTCCTTCTGTTACATAGACCTTCCCCATGCAGTGGGAGAGGCAGCCACTGGGGCCTGTTGGTTGCATGTTAACCACTCATGGCCTGCAAGCCACCAGTTGGATAGCCCTGAGCTAGGCAACCACTCAGGGTCCACTTCAGCCCTTTTTCTCTGCTTCTATTTTTTTGTTCTTAAACAGGGTGGATTTGATTTAAATTTGATTTAAATTCCCACTTGCAGGGAGCCTTGATTTAATCATTATTTTCTACAAAAAGTGCATTCTTGTTGTTTGTTATAACCTTCATTCAAATATTCCCAAACAACGGTCTCTTTTATAGCCTGACAAACCTGCTGCCATGATAGGTTTTCCCTTCTACCATACCATTCCCTCACTAGATCTCAAATCAGTGAAGAGGCTATACTCAGAAACTTATCCCTCAGAACTTGTGGAATATTCTCAAAATGTTTCTCTCTTGTTTCTACTGCCCCTCCCTCCTTGCATTTATCTTCAGACTCCTCTTCCTTGCCCAGATCTACTCCACCCCCAACAATCTTCTGTTCATTTAACTTCTTGAAACTTTGCACTTTTCGAGACAGACAAGGGCTTGACTGTGTACACAGACTTGCAGAGAGACAGTAGGGCTGATGGGTAGGTAATCAGGTCTGTTGTCTCTCATCTCCATATACACAAGTCCACAGTTTGAGAACTGAAACTAAGCATCACAGAGATGCTTAATAAGATCTTCTAGACTGAGCACTGAGTCCCACTGGGTAGAGTGGTTGTCTTTAATCCTTACTAATATATAGAGGAGCCTCTGGGAACCCCATAACATTGGGCCCCTAGTATAGTCCATGGCCTGTTGTGACTTATTTATAAAGCTTTTTTAAAAAGGTTACATGAATATATTGCTTCAAATAGTATGTAATTAGAAGTTATAATCCCAATTCCATGATAATCTTTGAGTTCTAATATGTCTTAAATTAAAACTATCTTTACATACTTAACAAAAAAGCCCCCAAAATGATTTAAATACAAAATTTTGTTTACATAAAAAAAATCAATATTTTAAAAATTGTTGATTTTTACCCAGCCTATTCTCAAAATGAGCTTACTCTTTCAATTTCAGAAACCTGGACCACAGAGCAGTGGTTCACGACTTCTCATCGGGTGGTAAATGGGAATCTGTAGAGCTGTACTTGCCCCAGTGGGGAATTGTCAGTTTTCATGCACCGTCTCTCTCTGAGAATTGTAGCCCTGTACCAGACTTTTACGATAGGCATAGTGTATTTTACTCAAATGAAAAAACAGCTTTCCCTCTTCACTTGGCATAGCTTTTTTGTTGTTTCTGTGGTTTAATTTAAATTATGATCAAACTTGTAGGCAATACGAAAAATTGGAGAGTTAACAAACAAGGGCCAAAATCACGTACAGACTGAAGGAAGAGATAAGAGCCACAGAGTTACAGGTAGCATAAGGAGATTTATAGTGTTAATAGAGATGTAGAGGTAGTTCAACACTAGACAGGCAGTACACAGTACGTATGCTAAGCAAGCAGAAGGTGAAACCCATCTCTTACACCTTTTTTGTTAAAATACATTAACTTTCTTTCCTCTGGTTTCTGTTGTCTAAATATTACAACTTACTAAATGCTGCAGGGAAAGGTGAGATCCGTGGAGGAGCTCTATCTCGAATGATCCGTTTTCAAAAACTCCAGTAGGTCTGTGCAGACAAATTACCCCCCTGCCTGTTGGTTTTGTTGCAAAGCCTTGTGATGCTTCCAGTCTGCCCTGAACATTGTTATTTATCAGTTTGATCTGTGTTCTTGTTTCTTCTAGGGTACTGTCTTTAGTTTGGATTCTGAAGAGGAGGAATACCCTGGGATTGTAGCAGAGGACAGCAATGACATCTACATCCTAACCAGTGACAACTCTGGTCAGGTGAGCCCCCCGGAGTCTCCCACAGTGACTACATCTTGGCAGTCAGAGAGCCTGCCTGTCTCCTTGTCAGCTAGCCAGAGCTGGCACACAGAGAGCTTGCCAGTATCCCTTGGACCTGAGTCCTGGCAGCAAGTAGCTATGGATCCTGAAGAAGTCAAGAGCTTGGACAGCAATGGAGGTGGTGAAGAAAGGAGTGAGAATAACTCTTCCAACTCTGACATAGTACACGTGGAGAAGGAGGAGATACCGGAGGGGATTGAGGAGGCAGTGGTGTCGGCTGTGGAGACTGAGACTGTTCAGGAGGTCTTCCCAGAAACCCCTGTGTCTTTGCTGGAGGTAGAGCCTGAAGCTGTAATTTCTGCTAGTGAAAAAGCAAGCCCAATGGCACCTTTGCTTGCAAAACACAAGGAAGAGGGGAAAGTAGCTGAGGCACCTGTTGAACCTGAAATCCCTGTGTTGAGTAAATCTGCCCAGAAACCAGCGTTGTCAGAAGAAAAGGCTGCGCCAGAACCTGAGAAAATACTGCCTCCAGGAGAGGAAACAAAAGTGGGAAAGGAGGGCCGCTTGGAAGAAATGGAAGAGAAATCTGCCGCTGCAGAGGAGAAACCCATCCTGTTGCCAGAAGGCAAATCTATACTGCTGTATGGAGGGGCTGCTGCAGTGGCCATCCTGGCTGTGGCAGTGGGAGTAGCACTGGCGCTGAGGAGAAAGTAGCAGGGCTTCGAGATGGAGGCGGGGAGTGAGCAGGATCCAATTTTTCTAAAGGTTGAGCTGCCTGCTGTTAATTGAACATTCATGTAACTTAAATGGTGATGGGGTGAGGGTATTCAATGTGCCCAAGGCTATGGACAATCATGTTTTTAGTGGAATTGAGTGGGGACTGTTTTTTTCCCCCCCAGAATTAAAGTACAGGTGTATTTAAAAAAAAAAAAAAAAATCTGTAAATTTAAGAATTGTAAGTGTGGGTGCTGAAGAAAGGGGGTGCTTGTGTACTGAAACTGGAAGAGATAATTCCCGGGGAAGAGAGCCAGCTGCTGCTAGCCCCTGGGATTTTTAGTTTGTGACTGACCTGCTGTTGCAGTTACGCTGTCTTGTCACTTCCTTTCGCACCTCCCGAAAAACAAAACGAAATGACACCTTAATCCTGTAGCGTGAGGCTGGTCTCCCTTATGTCTCAGCTTCCTCTCAGGTACTGCACTTCTCCTTATAACCTCCCAGGTTCCTTCTAAACCCCAGTGGGAGAGTGCTTCTTCTATACCTCTTTATCACACTTATTTAGCCCCAAATACTTCCTGAAGCCCCATCTTGTATAGATGCTGCCTCTCTATCTGTATTATCTCTGAGCTCTGATGTTGTCTGGAGAGAGGTGCAGAAGAGTCCCTCTGTGCTGCCAGCGGAGCAGTGGGGTAGGTGTGCTACAACTGTTTGTTGGTCTGAGAACACCTCTGCTTCCCCGGCCCACTTTAATGATAGTTCATTTACCACAGACATGGCTCTTGTGGGAGTCACTCTGCCATTTTGACAGTGATTTTGATACTAGCGCTCATTCAGCAGGTAGAGTATAACAACCTTATGTTTATAATTGCATGAAGAAACCTGAGCAGGAGGTTGAGGCTTGCCAGCTGATGCACTCGGTGAAGCTGAAAGGTTAAATGGCTGCTTTGCCCTTACCTTGTTCCCTAGCTTACTGTTGTCTTTCACAGGGTAAGTACAGAGGATGTGTTCATAGCCTTCACTCAGCCTGGGTTGTGACAAACAGAGAGAATCTCCGTTGTTCCAGGTGTAACTAAGGCAAACAGCAGTGAGCCTTTCTTTTCTGGCCTTGGCTCCTGGGCCTAGGGGGAGCCAGCACAGTGCAGTCTCTTTATGCAGCTCGTGGACAACACAGAAAGAATCAATTAATGTAGCCGATGACAGGTAAAAATAGTGACAGTGCAGTTACTTTGGAATAAAATAACCTAGCCCACTGGTCACAAACTTTGTTTGTGAACGGTGAAGTCTATACTGCAGCTTTACAGATGTAGTCTCAGAGTCCCCAGGAAAATCTGCTGCCTTCTTTTGGAAATTTATCCTGGCTCTGTGGCTTAGACAGGTGATGGGAAACATGAGAAAGTAAAAACAAAGCCTCATGCAAGCTAAAGGATTTTTTTTAGAGCCTAAAAAAGATGTTATTTCTAACAGCCTTGATTGCTGTCTTTGATGCGATACGCCTGTTTCTGTTTCTTACAAATCAGTGGGCTGAGAATGAAGAGAACATCACGTATTTCTTATTTTTTTTCAAATGAAATTAATTCATGTCCCTTTTCCTTTCCTCCCCCTTAGGGCTCCTAATGCTGGCAGTCCACAGGAACCCAGCAGAGTTCAGGGATTTTGTGCTCTAAACTTGTGCTAGGGTGATTTCTCTCGAGAGGGCTCCAGGGGTTGGAGGGAAGTTCTAGGTGAAGGAAACTTTTTAGAGGGAGAGAATCTGGTGGGAGAGGGATTGTACAGCTGGTACCATTGCTGTGGAGGGGGCCTGCTTAGCTCAGGAATTTTGCACTCTTTCTGCTGATTATTACGGTCTTTAAGCTGGACTGCTCTTACCCCATGCACAAGTGGTGATAAGCTGGCCTTAGAAATCTTTTTGCTGTGTTGTAAAATTAACCTAGTTCTTCCTTCCCTTATCTGGCCATGTCCTGGTGAGATCCTCATTGCTGTGTGTGCGCACAATTGTCATAGTATGTTCTTCCCCGTCTTCTGTTTTTTGTGGTACACATGCAGCAAAACGGCACTGTGGCTGTATTCTTGCCATAGTTGCCTCTTCTGCTTTTCCCTATAGACCAGTCTGGTAAGAAAGGTTTCAGTATTCCTTTTGTCACAGATGTGAGAGTGGTTTTCAATTTGTCTTCATTTAACTGATCTAAAATTAAGAACATTTTAAAATGATGACAGGAGAGTCATCATTTGGGGTAGTCTGTGCCCTAGCCAGAGTGGGGATTTGCTGTTCAGTGTCTGGTTTGTCTTGTGTATCAAGGGGTGCTTTACCTGTGGGGTAGGCTCCACTCCTCAGTAGTCTGCCAACACCAGGGGAGTAGATCTGTTCTTACCTCTGAGCTGGTGACTCCTGCTCTCTCTGGGGATGATGTTCCTTGGGTGGGAGTACTCCCCTGTCCTTATTCGTGCAGTGGGTCCTATCACTGCATGAAGGTTTGCTTCTGACCACGTTCCGAGTATTTGTGTGCAAATTATGAAATGTCCTTTTATCCCATCTGTTACTCATCAGTCCAGTAATAGGGGGACAGGACACAGGTTACTGATGGGGGGACAAAAGGTAGAGAGTATTTCCTTTCAGGCCAGAAAAAAATCCTTATCATGGTGATACTCCCCTTGATGCAAAAGTCAGACAGGGCTGTGAAAGTGGAACAAAATGTCTTCCATCGCAGTCACACAGATTACTCCTCCTTTTTGGTTTCAACTATGAAGATTGTTCTCCATCTTAATCTCTTATTGGTAAATGACAGTTGAAAAAGGGTATGACTCCCTCTCCCCCAGTGCTTATGCTCTATATTTATTCATTTATATTAGTATGTTCTAGGATCTCCCCATCCACTAGAAATGGCCTGTTACGTATTTGGGTGTCCAAGGGCTCTACTGACTGCTACCTTTGAGGTCTGATGCAGCTGTAGCCAGCACCAGCATGGAACTGACCCAGAGAGAAGCAGGAAGTAGTGTTACTTGTCACCATCTTGGAGGGCCACTTATTTGTTGTAAGGTAGGTTGTGGTTTAGGAACCACACACAGTTCTGGACTGCAGGACTTACCGGTCTGTCCAAGTCGTGTGCTCACCATCTCTTCCTGGTATAGTTCTTAGAATTGGTAGAGGGGAGACACTAGTTGCCTGATTTCATATAATGCTCTATTAAAGTACCATTAGTTTTGCTTGCACCTCCCCTTCCTCCTTTCCAAAATTAAGTGCCTCAAAATATGTCCCAGAGTGGACTTTACCTTAACTAAACTTCTATCTTGAACTCTTTTTTTCTTCTCTTTACCCTTGTCTGCTGCACATCCTTAAGCTGTGATAAAATCACTAACCCCTTAGAGTCAGAGCCACAAGAAGGGCTTCCACTCCTGTGTTCAGCATTGTGGGGCCTGACTTTGAGGGTGCCTCCATGCCCCTAGCAGATCTTCCCACTTAGTAGAATCTGCAGCCCCAGGGCTCCCTGTCAGTGCCTGGGGAGAGTTGGAGGCTAAGGAATGGGGTCTTCACCAGCTGGCATGTAAAGCAGGGAGTCCTTTCAGCTGATAAGCTGGAAATGCACAAGGCAGGGTCTGGTTTACCCCTACATCGGGCTGCAAGAAGGCACTTTCCTCTACTTTAAGCTTAAGTGCTGTGACCTCTCTCGAGGAGTCAGCACATAAGCTAGCCTATTTTCACAAAATACAGGTGGAGGAAGAGGAGTAAGTGCCTCCCTTTTCTGTCCATTAAACAATCATGGGAAAATGCATTAACAGTTCAGGGACCAGAACCTGGGGCAACCCCAGTGAGTGTCCTGGCCACTAGGGTATAGGGATTTGCTCCTTGCCTCCCGAGTTGTGAAGTACCCAGTTCTGGCAGTGAGTGTGCAAGATGTGCTTTGAGATCACCTACCAGATTGGGCCTTTACAGCACTTGGATCCAGAAAGCTGGCATCCTGCCACCTCAGGAAAGGTTAGCTGTGACCTCAGTACCAAGCTACTCAGCCCTGAGCGGAGCTGTGGCAGTTCTGGGCTTGGCCTAAGCACCTGAGGAACTTTAAAGTCAAGTCATGTGGAGTTTAGGTGCCTCAAGGGCTGGGCAGTGGCTGAGCTGGCATTTCAGGGTTACAATTTGGCCTTGGGGGTACATCCAGTAGAGGATTTAGGTGCCCAAGTGATTTGGTTTTGGTGATAGAGCCAGGAATACAGAACCCAGTGCTTCTGACTTCTAATGCATGTTTGCTCACTGGAGCCAGCTACAATTACAAGAATTCAGGTACTTGCTCAAGCTGCCTCCATCTGTTGAGTAGAAAACCCCCCAACAGATGGCTAGAAATTACTTTTGGAAGCGTTTAGTATTGCAGATAACAATAGATGCTTGCCAGGGCTGAGGTTTAACCAATACATAAACGGCATTTTTTTGAGAACCAAGAAGACCATCCTAGTAAAAGGAATTCTCGCTTAATTTGGTGAGGAAAATAAGCATCAACATCTGCTGCATCTACTTTGAATGTGCAGATAAGTTCACATAGTGACTGCAAATGTAGGGGAATGGGAGTGAGAAGGGTGAGGAGGGCTACTGAGACAAACCTGGCAAGAGGCTGTTTTTTTCCAAGCCTCCGTCTAGAGAACATCTCACTGTTAGAACATCTGCTGTCTCTGCTTAGAGAAGGAACTTCACAAGTTAGCACAATCCAGTTGCTCTTCTTTTCAAGCATCTCCTTACAAACAGACAGGTAGTACTCTATTACCCTTGATAAAAATGAGAGACTTAGTCTTAAAGGAATGAAATGCAAGGTTTAGCATTTTTATAAGTGATAGTAGTAGAAAAATGATACCTTCCAAATACTTAAAGTCTTCTCTACACTTAAGTTTTGCTAGTCTTGTTATCACAACAGCAAAACCCTCTCAGGGTAGATGTCACACTGTTCAAAGCACTTTTTTTGCCAATGGAGTTTCATCAGTGAACCCAGACAAGCCAAAACTTGAAAAGCAGGGTTTTGGCATAAATGCGTCTCCACCAGGGCTTTGTTAGCATAGTGCTCCCCCACACTGTTATGCTGCCAAAACAAGTGTAGACTTGGCCTTTATTATTCTTCCTTTTAAATATGAAACCTCAAAGGACACTCTACCTTGTCCCTCTGGATTACATCTAGCTGAATGATTCGGCTGTATTCTGTCCTCTACACATTCCCCTATCCTGCAGGTCACAGAGGGGAGGAATGTCAGTATTGTTCACCTCCAGGAGGGTAAGGCTGAGAGCTGAGGCAGCGTGTAGACTCGGTGAGATGCACTCTTGGCAATGAGAGGCAACATTGGCATTGCTTTGAGCCTGGCTATTTTGGTGCTGTGCTTCAGAGTGCAACTGAGATTACCAGAAAAGGGCTAGCCTGTTTTAACTGAAGCACAAGCCAATTTCTTCTGATCCAAGTAGTTCCCAGATCTCTCACAGGGCAGCTACTGAACATAGCATGTTGGAGCAGGTAACTAAAGCACTGTTGTAGTTGTAAGCGGTTGTTCTTGGTTTGCTGTCACATCTGCTAAGGTTAAGATAGAGACCTGTTGATTAGTTATATAGCTGGGTAATGATAACTACAGCAGCTTGATATACGTCATCTCCAAGAAAACTGAACGCTGGTTATATAGTTCCTGGCCACTTTTTCTTTCTAAAGGATTGTATGACTTTAACATACCTTCTATTTACAGTTAACCTGTTCTAGGTCTCTTAGGCAGGGTGACTTCCTCTCTCACCAACTCGCCTCACCCCAGCACATCAAGAGGAGTTTCTGATACAAATTTTAACTACAGCTCCCATTTCTTTTACAGTACAAATTCAGGCTGCTAACTATGAGGGAGCAAGGGTGAGGGACAGTGGCCGTATGGACTGAGCAGGCTGGAAAGCTTGCATCATACTGCTGCTGCATGTTAGGGGTTTCCTCCTGGTTTTCCAGCTTCACAGGAGTAAGCTCTCATTCAAATAATGAAAGGCTAAACCTCTACCTGGACTACAAGACTGCCCCTTGAATAACAAACCAAGAAGCAAAATGCCATGTCCATGGATTAAGAGCCTATCTTCCTCTATATTTACAGAAATAAGATGGTAGTCACTTGACTTGCAGGAATATCAGGCTCTGGGGCTGGGCTGACTCGGTATGAAAAGATGTCCTGACATCCAGCAGTTGCTGATTACTCAAGGAACTGTTTTACATTGATTGTTCCTTTAATATGCAAGTGCAGCACACTATGGGGGGAGGGGGAAGAACTGAAGCCTCTTGTGCCATTTGGTTTATAAAAGTGTTTCCAGAGCTAAAGGAGTTCTCTCCAGCTCCACTGGTTCTTATTCAGCTTAATTGAAGGGGGTATGTACATTTTCCTCCCCATTGGGACACCAGTGTAAAACCATGACCCCAGGTTGCACTTTAATAAATGGTACAGTTTTCCAAAAAAAAACAAACCCAACCTAGTGTGGACTATTCTTGCATTAATTTCCTAGAACATTATAGGCACCAAGGATGATAGCAGATAGTCTGCTATTTAAGCCTGCACATTAACTGAGGTGGGATTAGATGTAGGTTACTGAAGCATCTTTCTGGCTTTTTCATTTAGTTTCACTACTGCTAAAATGCATCCATTCCTTGTTCTCCTCACCTGGTGCCTGAACAGCAGGGGGTCCTAGGAAAAATGTGATTAGATTCATTCTACAACCACCTTTCAGTGCCAGTAATTGGGGTGACTTCCCTTTGTAAAATTTGGCACTAGTTATTACCATAGATCTAAACCCATGAAAGCCTTTAAAAAATGTAGGAACATAAAATAAGTTGAAGGGGTTGGGGATTCAGGACAGTGGTTTTAATAATGCCTTAAAAGCATGGTTTAAAGATGGACCCTTCTGCAAATTCAGACTCTACCACAGCTACGTTTACAGCAGAGCTGACAATTTTATTTTTAAGTTAAAATTAAAGACAGTATTTACAGGCAGTGTAGATGTATTGGCCTGGCTTATAGAGAACTACTTCAGGGTGAGACAGTGCCTTCCTGGTAAGCTAAGCAGAGGTGCTTAACAGGATGAAAAGAAGCTGCCAACCTCCTAGTTTCCTTCTCTTTACAGTAACTGGCTACACATAAAGCTAAAGCGTGTTCTGCTCAAGTGTATCCAGTTTAGTTCACTCCCTGATACAGTCTGACCATTTTATAATCTGCTTCTCCTTTGATTGGGAAGTTTAGTTTATCTGGGCACAATTTGTGGGTAAAAGAGAAACACCAATTGCTCCAGCAGCAGAGAATATCTGCACAAGCTCATAACACACACACGGTAGTAAAACATCAGGAAAAAACAGGGCCTGGGAAAGGCTTTGCAGGATAGCTGCTCACTTCCACCTCGGGTCAGGATGATGCAGCTACTTAGAGCCCAGATGACTGGCACTGCATTGGAAATGTGCTGAGACTTCACACACATCCATCCTCCCCTTGTGCACAGGATTTGGGCTAGTTTCAGCTTCAAGGAACACCTGAGCATGATACCAACTGGCATTTTTTCCCTGAGATACAAAGATCTTCACCTGCAGTGAGTCTCTGTTGTAAAAAGCATTGTTTTTAATACTTGGTAAGAAAGAAAGGGCAAGCATTACTCTTACATGTCTCAGACTAGCAGAACAATCATGCAGCTAAAACTACTGGTGCTGCTTTGCTACTCTATAAAAGTCTAAAAACAGAATAATGGGTTTCTATTGACATGTCTCAACCACATCACAAAGAATGGTCCTTGAGTCCTTTAGAGTTCTAGGCTGTAACCCTCTCCAAGCCTGTGGATGGCACCAAGGTCTCATTCAGCTCTAGAGAAACAGAAACAAAAAACAGTGGTTTGGTTAGGAAGGACAAGAAGTCAGGACAGATTTCACTGAGAGGGTGCACACTGTCCTTCTCTAAGAGGGGTTGTACTTAGCCAGAGGAGGAGCAGGTCACAACATTCAGCAGCAAGGGAGCTTTCAGAAAGACTGTCAAACCCTTTTTTGCTTTACCTCTTTGTGGAAAGGGCAGAGTTTAGGTTTAAGGCAGGCTCCCAATGCTTCATTGCTGTCTGTGATCTAGTCCTCCCCGCAACCCGTTTTCATTATCCTAATGAAACAATTTACAGTGCATTAGTATGCTTCATGCCAGTGCACCAGATTTCTGTTACTCTATGACAGCATATCTTTTTTTTTCTTTTGCAGACCCCTAAAAATTTCAAATGGAGGTGTGGATCCCTTTGTATTTTATAAGTGTAGGTAAATTATACTTGCAGGTATTCACTTACCTTTGACTGATCATACTAGTCTTTCATGGACCCCTTAGATGCAGTCTGCAGGCCCCCAGGTGGGGGGGAGGGGGGTGTCCGTGGACCACAGGTTGAAAACCACTGTTCTATGGCCTTGTCTATGGGAGTTTCATATGCCCGATGGAAGAGCAATCCCCCTCTTGCGTAGCAGCAGTTACACTGGGAACAGTTCTTTTGCCATTATAGCTCACACTGACCAAAGTACTCTCGCAGGCTAAGATGCCTCTCATCTAGGCAGGTTTGGCAGCAGAGTGATAGCGCATTTTCAGGTCATAGCCCCCATCACCCCCAACTGTCCCTCCCAGAGATACCCAGGTTTGCACTATATCTACCGAGGAGCAAGTCACAGTTCTGTTCCTGACATAGGAACCACCAGCGGTTAGTGAGCAGGTAGGTTACTGACCCACCTGCCTGGGAGGTGTACTGGTAAGTTAGTGGCACTCCTCCAAGAGGACCTATTCTTTTAGGCCTTGGGCCAACCTCACAAGAGGACTGAGGACTGCAATGCCCAACTTCCTTTTGTCATGGAATCTGTGCCTGTGACAAAGCAGTCCACCCCACAGAACAGGAGCCATGGCAGGCAGCGTGGTGAGGGGGAAGCTGCTTAAGGTAACAACAGGAAGTATTGGGCAGAGGGACCCTACTGTGAGCCAGAAGGCCTGTATGTCTAAGGCTTCCCAGTCCTGATCCCCTCCCCCTTGGACTTCTGAAATAGGTGGCTACATCACTGTTCTCACCATGCTAAAGGTATAGGTTCCTCTTATGCATGGTTACTTATTTTAAATGTTCATGCAATCAGGAACTAGCCCTCTCCCAGGTGCATGTCATTTTTTCCCTGCCCTTACAAGGCCAAGACTGCAGTATCACTTCCTCTGGTTCACTGCATTACCATGCAATGTAGAACAGCTTTCACAGGAGAGAGACAGCTGAATGAACTCTACTGTGCTGGCTGAAGTCTCAGGCCTTTCCAGGGAGATGCAAGTTCAGATTCCTTCAAGCAGAGGAAACAACTGAATTGGGTCCTTCCCTTTTCGGGTGCATACAATCACCAGGGAGCTACTGGATTAAAAAGCAACATCCCAGCCCCTCTGCCCTGGCCTCAGATAGCCTGACAGCTGAGCAGCAGGGTGTTTTAGGAAGACCACTAGGCTCCCTGGGAAGTTTTACTAGTAACAGCAGGTATATTTCTATAAACCATAAGCATTGGCAAGGTTGGGCTGCAACTGAATGGGCACTGGGGCTAAATTTTGGAGCCTTTTACATCCCTTTGTGCATCTAGCCCCTTATGCTGAAGCTTTTCAGGGTAAGCAGGCAGGAAGCATGAGGTGTGAGACTTCAGCTGCACTTAAATGAGAGTTTAGTAAAGTCTGCCTGGCCTGTGCAGTAGGCTACAGGCTGGTGGGTACATGCATGGTTACCTGAGCACAGCAGGAGCCTTCACACCCATTAGCACCAACAGCAGAGGGGCTAGGGTACTTGTCTGGGGAACTGGAGACTCAAGTTCTAACCCTGCTCCCCCAGAGGGAGTTTTCACCTACACCTTTCTGGCCTCTCAGCACAGTATTTCCACCACAAGCTAGCATAACACAGGTCTTTCTCTGGGGCTCTTTCTGAGCACTAGGCAGCCATGAGAGGGAGATATATGGAGTCAGAATAAGAACACGCCATAGGCTGGCGCAATGAGAAGGATACTTCTTAGGAGGGAGCATGCTCCTAGGGGGAGAGAGATTTCCCCCCACACTGCATGGCCTCCAGCTATGTTAGCCAATGCAAGGGGCAGTGGCACAGCACTGGAGCAGGCTGGGGTTAATGCCTGCCCTGTGGCCTGGGGGTTACAGTACCCCGCTGGGAAAGATGCAGTTTCAACCTCACGTCCTGTCCCTTCTGCCTGTGTCAGTGCTAACAGCAATAAAGGAAGAGTTGAGTTGCTCTTCATGACTTGAGCAGGTCTCCTGTCTCCCTCTGCAGGAGCAATGACATTATCCTACCCCTTCACTGCTAAGCAGCAGTAGGTGTAACAGAGCTGAACCATCAACACACAACACCTAGGATGGGAGCGTGTCAGCAATGAAGCTAAGCTCTTCAGTGCCAGACAAGCTGGTAGTTGAATAGGTGTCTGCCTGTTTGTACCTCCCCCTCACAGCCAAGTGCACTGTGCTAAAGTCTGAATTAAAGTCTAACGAGAGAGAAGCTGCAAATGGCTAAAGGAGTCACCTCCTCCATACCAATTACCCATGCCTCTTGCTGCGGCTGGCTCAGTTGCCAACAGCACTAATACTTTAGCAGACAGACTAGAGCCCCTGTCAGCTCCTGTGCCTATGCTGCAGTGGATAGACCCCATGTTCTCTAGGTATGCAGCTGCTGTAAGATAAAGAGCCATACTAGGTCACCCCCAGGCCCCTACCTGGCCAGGATCATTCCCTAAATTCCTGTGCCCAGTTTGCCACCATCTTTGGGGGACTCTCCCGTGGTTGGCACAATGGTCCTTACCTGTCAGACGATGTTATGGATGTAGTCATGGAGGTACTGGTTCATGTAATTCACAGTGGTGCTGAAGACCCGGTGTAGGAGAGATGGCACGTTGTTCACTACTTTTTTGGCTAAAACCATTGCCAGCACCAGCTTGGCTTTCTCCTGGTCCATGTCTAAGGGGATGGATTTCAGGACCTGTTCCACCATCTGAGACAGACACCTTGTTATTTCCTGTGCCAGGAGGAGGAAAGATGTGTCACAAGGGCACCAGTTTCCACATAGTCCAAGACAGCAACAAACATTCCCCACTGTGCCGCTATCTCAATTCCCTTTGCAACACAACCAGAACGAAGCACAGCCAGGGCAGGATTTCAGCTTACCTAGAGTGAGAGGTTGCATCAACCCTAACAGAAACAGAAGCTGATTTGATGTTATCTTCCAACCCTTCTTGCTCAGCCATTGGTGTGCAGGGTTTCACCAGCCTCAAAGGGGCCTGCAGGGTAAACCCCCATGCTGCCATAACTTGCAGCGGAAAAGGGCTTGGAAAAAAACTTCTCATCCCAGACACAAATGGCTGAGTAAGCCAAAGCCAATACACGTGGTCCCAAGAGGACAATAGGTCCCCATGGAAGCAAACAGAAACTTGCAACTTTAGATCCTTCCAAGGAAGAGAAGGAGAGTCTAATGTCTCAAGAACAAGAGGAGAGCTTGGTTCTGCTGCAGCACCCAGCTCTGTAGTGTCACAGGGCTAAAAAAAAAAAAAACGCCTGTCGCTGGTTGTACTGGTTAAACACAGGCTCAGTTGTGCATGTGACAGGAGCAGAGGAACAGCCACTGCTGACCATTGCCCAGGGTCTGATTTCCACCTGTTTCACATGGTACTGCAAACATGCAGTGCATCTGACAGCCACCCAGCAGAGCTGTAAAAGGAGTTGACTGCTCAGGACCACATGCAGCACAGGAAGGGTTTCAAAATGGCTTTGCTGAGTACATTTAGAGGGACCCATGCCATTTTTATTAAGTGAAGAATTGCTTGGCACTAATTTACCTCACTGGAGAGATTTGCATTCAGGAACTGCTGCACAAGATCATCTACTGGTCCCGCCTGCATCTCAGCAGCCAACTGGTCCCCAATCTCAGCCAGCTGAGCGCCAATGATTTGGTAAATTTCCCCTGTCTCAGAACCTAAAGTCAAGATTTGAAGCAGGATTTAGTTCACATGCAGTTGTGCCCCAAATTAAGTTTGGTGTAAACAAGCGGATGGAAGAGACTGTTGCTGTCAGCTTCACACAGCACCGTTCCACATCAGCTGTTGTACGCAGTATGTCAGCCGCCTCAGCATCGATGGTACACAGCCACCGCTGCCACTTTAACAGGGGAGTACACCAGTGCCACAACAGCTCTGAAGAAATGTCACACCACTCGGATGGCACTGCCAGGGAGTAGCACACAGCTATCAAACTAAATTTGGCAGACTGGCTCAGAGGCACAAGCTTTTTCAGGCAACAGTCTACTTTCTCAGATGCAATATCACCTGCTAGCTAGTTTGTGCCTCTGAGCCAGTCAGTCTCAGGTGCTATGCTGCCCTGCCTTCAGACTAACATGGCTACCTACCTCACAACAGAAATTTAACCCAGATACAGCTTCTAATAAACTCATAGTCCCTGAAGGAAAAACAAAATCCACACAATCTTTTACGACCTTAAATCAGGATTTTACCTCACATCTTTTCTACGTGCAGCATCTTTGTCTTGCAAACTTTCCCCTGATCCTGCACTGGGACATGAGCTCAAGGCTTATTACAAGGGCCGAGTGCTGCATACTGTAAGACCAAATTTTCTGAAAAGATGATCTGTCCAAGCAATAAGCCACACCCAGCCCTGCTCAGCATCCCAGTCTAAATAAAATTACAGCCCAAGGTGGCACCTTCATGGCACCTGGGGGGAGGGGGAAGATCACTGCATCACAGCCCCCTACTGTTACCATTCCTATTTTTCCACCAGCCATTGGATATCGCTTCCCCACCATACAAGCCTAGTAGAAGGGGCCAGCTTCAGCCCCAGGAGTCCTTGCTCCGTAGGCCAGCTCCTGAAGTCCTTGTTCCTAAACTAGGTAACAGGTGCCAAATATCCAAACCAGTGGCACACCTAGGGCAGAGCAAATAAAGCAAGGGCTGCGAGTGCCGACTTGGGAGAGGTCAGGTTGGGGACAAAGAGTGGCTGTAGCTGGCTACCAAGCAATCACAAATCACAAGCAGTGGCAACCAGCTGTTGCCACTCCCCCGCCCCGGTGTCCCAGGTGCTTGCCTGCATCTTTACACTGCTGATCCAGACACTGCCCAAGGCACAAAGCAAGGCTTAAGGGAGTACACCCCTTGCTTGCAGCAATGCCACTGGCTTAGCCTCAGGCTCCATTTTAACACACCAGAAAGATGTGGCACAAAAAAACCACCTAAGGCCTGTGATTAGTGCTCTAGAAATAAAAGGCACAGAGGTGCCAAACACCAGCTGCGCAAACCCCACTTGTCCTCATCAAGAACATAACAATTGCCAGTGGAGAAAACACTCTCTGAGTCAGTCTGCTACAGAAGAGACGAGCTGTGCGTATGGGGGCAAAGGCACAGACCTGGCTCGCCATTTTGGAAATGGCCGCTACGGTTCCCGTCTGTTTGAAGCTCTCCATCATCAGAAAAAGAATGGAAGGCTGTTCTATGGGGCACGCACTGGGGTGTGTGTCTGCAGCTCAGAGTCTGCAGCTTCTCCTTGAAGGCACAGTCTTGGGAGTTGTCCAGGAAGGAGTACAGGAGGAGGCTCTCCAGCTGGCTGAATCCATCGCTGTATGTGCCCTAGAAATAACCAGTCAGCGTTAAACCAACGGGCAAGGAGGTAATCTGGCTTGACATGAACACGGCTGCCTTGTGACCTCCTCCAGAAGCCCTGACTAATGTTACCCAGTGAGTGAGACTGCAGAGTCATGTGGCGGCATTCTGGCTGCCCTGGCTTCACATACTACAGGGAAGTGATCTGGTGGTGGAGGATCACTCAATCTAGGCAGCCCTGTGCATTCTGGGCTGCAAAGATGACATGCCTGGTTAGAATGAACCGTTAAAGGTTAGAATGAACCGTTAAAGAAGAACCACATGTGCACGCCCACATGCCCAAATCCGAGGTTAGCAGCCGCTTAGTGTGTGTATCAATTATGCAGGTTCTTGATATAAACAGATGCCCAATCAGTACAAGCAATGCTAAGGGAGGATCCTCGTGCCTGAAGAACTGTCTCTGAAGTTACAAGCCTCCCTTTTCATGCCACCATGTGAAGGGGCCCAGCCAAGTCAGTAATGACCAAGTCCGGATCACTGCAGAGAACTGTGGCTGCTAGCTGGGACAGTGTCAGGCAGAGCACTTTGAATATGACCTCACACATGTAGGCGCGTCCCTCTTCACAGGGCAGGGAGCATTCTGCCTGCACATACGGCCACAGGAGGGCATGGAAATGTGGTGCTTGAAAAGCTCAGCTACAACCAGGAGCTATGAAACAAGGGCCTAGACACTACTCCCCTCCAAATGTTTAAAGGCTAAATGCACTTTCTGGCTTATAATGACTAGTGATGCTGAATGCAAAAACTGAATTATCCAGAAAGTAGGGCTCAGTCAGCACTTTCTAAAATGAAGGCCCTTTACATGGTCTCAGATGGGACCCCAGAGCTGAGGCCTCTTCAAGACCCCTAGTCACCTCTGAGAAGTTGGCTGTGTAGCACTGAGAGAGGCAAAGCCTGTATGGAACTGACCTGGTCCATGGGGGCTGCTGGGATGGGGTGGCTGTGTCACCCTTTGCTTTCTGCCCACACGCTCTCTTCCTACAAGACAAAAAAAAAAAGGAGAATGCCAATGTGTCTGCAAGCCCCTCAGCTCAGATTGCCCCATCGGGCTGGCAACCTGGCCCCACTTTGAGTCTTCCTGGAGATACCCATGCCTGGGATGTTCAGGCAGGCTTCCCCATTATAGTCTGGCAGTCATTGGTAAGGCTGTGAACACCGGGCTGGTCCAACACAGAAGCTCCTACTTAGGGGTAAAGAGGGGTGAGCTGTGAGGATATAGCACCTCCACCCTCCTTGAGCCAAAGGTTCTGGCCTTCCTGTCACATGGATGTGCATGGGAGCAAAAGGAGCCTGCGGGCTGACACATAATGGCTGTGATGAGAGCAAAGCCAGAGGTCTGTCCTCCTTGGCTATTTAAGAGCAAGCCTTGTCTCTTGGCTTCTCCATGAAGAGTCCCTTCAATCGAAGTTAGAATGAACCTTTAAAAGATGAACCACACACACACACACACACACACACGGAGGCTAAGAAGTGGTGGGGGACCCCCAAGTGTGCACACAAATACTCACAGAAATACTCAAAACTACAGCTCTCTTGTACTGTTAAATCAGGGGTATCAAACCCTCCCCCAGACCCTGTGCTGGATCCAGACTGCAAAGGCACCTCCCCTCCCAGGCCGGATCCAAGGGGCCAGAAGCAACTGTAGAAGGCTGTGTTCAAGCAGCAGCATGGGGCCAGGGCTGGGTGGCAGCATGGCTCTCTGGCCAGACAACAGCATAGAGCCAGGGGCATGCGATGGCATGGGGCTCTGGCTGGGCAGCATGGAGCAGGTGTCCAGAGGCATGCGTGAGCGGGGGGGTCTGCAATCGGTCAGCAGCAGGAGCTGTTTGAAATGGCCACGTCTATCAGGGCTCAGGGAGCCTGCACCTGAACACTGCAGCAGGGGTCCCTCCAACTTCCCGCACCCACTAGCCTACTGGCAGGCCACACTGAATAGTTCCAAGGGCCAGATCCAGCCTGCAGGCCGTATGTTTGACCCCACTGTGCTAGATCACCACTACCAAAAAGCCAAAAGGTGCTAGCTTAATTGAGGCAGTGTCTTTGGGAAGCTGTTTCCACCTGTGAGGTCCAGTTAAACCCCAAGACTAGCTCAACTTGCTATGCTAGCTCCTATAAAATCTACAGACTGCTGCTTCATCTTCGCCAGACGTTCACCTCGAGTTACCTCACTTAAGGTAGGAACCCAGCTCCCTCTGGTCGTCAGTACAAAGCTGTGGCTGGCACATGCTTCCCACTGGAAATGGCCCTTCCCCCCACCCCACAAGCATCAAGAGCACCAGAATAAAAGGAAGTGATTAGTATCCCCTTAGCAGTACCTCTTCTAGGATGTCTGCTGTCCCTTCCTGCACTCCCACAAGGTTTGTGCTGTATCAGCTGAGGGCACGGGGAGGGGAGGGTGCTGTGCAAAGGCAGCTTTCTAACATCCCACTTATCTTGGCACCCGTGTCCACCGCACTGTGACCTCAGGCTCTCAGTGCAGTGCGGTCCCTCACCAGTTCCTGTGCACATATATAAGCCTCTTGCCACAAGACTGGTGTTTTCCACCCAGGCTGCCTGGCCCATGCTGGGCAACAGGCCAGCACATGTGCTGCCTCCATTCAGGCTGGTAACTGACCCCTTCTGCAGCGTGAACCTGGGCCAAACCCCTGGGCCACTGCCATCCTTCAGCCCCTCCTACCCCATATGCCCAGGAGGGCAGACATCCCACAATGCACAACTAAATGATCAGAGCAGCTCACTGAACTGCGGCAGCAAGACTTGTGCAATGTTCCCTCAGGAGACCTGGTGGCACTGACAACAAGTGCAGCACCAGCGCTGATGCACCGGTGCACGGCTACACAGCATGGTTCCTTGCACGCAAGCAAAGCCCACCTGGGTGCTCAGATCCATGTGTCTGTCTCCCCAGCCAGGCTGCCCACTGCATGTCAGTGTGAGCGCAGCCAGGTGAGGATAAACCCCAGCTTGCTTGGAGCAACTGGCCTAACCGTCCATGCAGTGCAGGATGGAACAATGCAGAGCCTCTCCCCAGAGGCTGCCATGTATCCTCTACTTCCTAGGAAAGCCTAAGGCTTGATTTCACCACTCCTGGTTGAAATTCAGGGAAAACCTTCTGACTCAAGTGCAGGAGTCCTTCTCCTTCCACCCCACCCCCAGCCTGCCCTCCACTCCACCCTAGAGAGCTCAAAACAAGAGTCTGAGCAACAGTGGAGAGGGTAGGCGTGAGTAAACAAATGAGGATACTCCCTACCCCCACTTCCCCGGCACACACAAGTGAGTCACAGGAGTCGGGTCTGGGGAGAGCGCTCACTCCACTCTGTAGCCCAAACCATTAACCGTGCTGGTCTGAAGTCAGGCAGAAAGCATGGCACCTGAGACCGGTTCGGAGAGGCTTAAGCTTTTGTAGATGATGACTTACTCTGTCAAGTGCTGTGAACAGTGCACAAACTGGCAGGTGACATAAGAATTAGAAGCCCTACTAGCCAGAGGCTTACACTGGAAAGCCCTGGTAGAGCTGAGCCCCAATGATAAATTTTAAAGGTCTCTGCTTAAACAACCAAGAGCAAGTAACAGTTTAGGGCAGGGTTGTCAAACATGCGGCCTGCAGGCTGGATGCAGCTTGTGGAGCCACACGTGGGTGGCGTGTGGGTCTTTGGACTGACCCCAAGTGCCAGGCCTAACCCCAGACCTGGTGCCACACACCTTGCCTACAGCACAGGGGGTGCTCCATCAGACTGGCCCTGGACACTGGCTCTGGATCAGGCCATGCTGAAGTCAGCACATAGGGCCAGTCCAGCAGGGCGCCACATGCTGGCCCTGCACGGTCTGCAGCGTGCACAGCCAACCCAGCCCCACTTGTGCCATGCAACATGCACCAGTCTTGGGGCTTGCTATGCAGGCGGCACATGGGGCCGGCACAGGGCATGTGCTGCACACGGTGCATGGGCTGGACCCAGCACTGCACACAGCACAGGGGGTCTCGAACGTGAGCTGCCGGCAGTGTCATGTCCAGCCCATGCCCCGGACTCCATGTGTTGAAAGTAGCACTGGATTCAACTAGCATGCCACAAGCAGCATGTGCCCCATGTGCTTTGTGCACAGCAAGGTCGAGGCTGGCGCATGCTGCATGTGGCACACAGGCTACACCTGGTGCCACAGATGCTGCGCAGGGGATAAGTCTGGGTCCAGCCTCATCAGTGGAGTGGGGGGTAACGATACCTCCTGAACTTTGTAAAGAACTCTGAGAAATGCTAGATGGGAGGCGTGGTGTTCCCAGCAGTCCTGATGAACCTTGGGGTCAGATGAGTTTGACAACCCTGGCTTAGGACAACCAGCTTGAGACACCAGGGCTGGGGCAGGCAGCATGTTCAGAAAACTTGCCCTCTTCTGCTGGGCCCACAAAAAAATTAAAGGCAATGCAATATCCCCTTTCATTCCTGAACATTCAGAGCACCACATCGATGGCCAGAGCTGGAAGCCACTGGAAAACCACAATGCTCAAAATGCCCACTGGGAGATCATTCATTTTGCAGTCTGGGAGATCATGAATTTGGAGACTTTAAGATTAATTTATATCTTCTGCACTGAATAATTTCCAGACTGATGTTCTATGACAAGGAAATGGAGCCAAGCCACAGTAGGGTGATCTGGGGGCAGGGCTAAGAGGAAAGCAAAAGTTCAAATTAATCCAACTGTAAAGAATGGTTGTCACATTTTCCAATTTGATCCGTATTTTAATATATTAAAACTAAATTTTGCTAAAATTATCACAAATCTATCCCTTCTGCTGTGACCCTATCACCCCATGGAGTTTCTTTGTGCATTCTTGTGTTACGGTAGCTAGGAAAGAACTCCACAGCTCTTTTATACCAAATATTGTGAAACTGGATTACAACTGCAATGGAAGTAGTCACACTGGTGCAATCCATGCTCTTTATATGTTCTTGGTTCATCTAATGCTAACTTCTTACCATGTTTCCCTCTTCATAAAATGCACACACTATAGAAAAGCCCCAGGGAACTCTTACATAATCAGAATTTTGTATAAACAACATTCAGCCTCTCGACAGATTCTATGCAGAGGAACAGAAGCAAATTGCAGGTCACCAGGTTAGTTAGAGTTTACATGCATGTACTTAAAAGATAGAACAATAGAAAAAAAAATGTCTGTTTTCCACTGGAAGCGCCCTCAAGTCTTTTGAAGAAATGAGCTTAAATCAGGGTGGATTTAAAAATATATATATAAAAAAAAAATGGATTTTTAATTTCAATCAGATTGTTTATTTAATCATATTTTTATTTTTTAAGATGCTTTTAAAAAAAACGTATATAAAAGATAGCTTTAATTTAAGATATGTTAAGACTCAAAGATATCATCATGGAATTGGGATTATAACTTCTAATTATATACTATTTGAGGCAACATATTCATGTAACCTTTTTAGAAAAGCTTTATAAATAAGTCACAACAGGCCATGGACTATATTAGGGCCCCAATCATATGGGGGTCCCAGAGGCTCCTCTATAGATGAGCAAAGATTAAAGAAAACCACTCTACCCAGTGGTAGTGCTCAGTCTGGAAGATCCCATTAAGCATCTCTGTGATGCTTAGTTTCAGTTCTCAAATGGTGGATTTGTGTCTCCAGAGATCACAGGCAGACAAGGTTCTTTGGGTAGATGTGATATATTTTATTAGACCAACTAAATATTTGGAAAAATTGTTCTTTGCATGCTTTTGGGCACAAATGCCCTTCTTCAGTCATAGGGAGAGTTTGTTGTCTCCAGAGATAACATCCTTGTTAACAGCGGTACACAGAGATGAGAGACAACAGACCTGATTACCCACATATCAGCCCTCTTGGCTCTCTGCAAGTTTGTGTACACCCAGTCAAGCCATTACTTGACTCTAAAAGTTCAAAGTTTCAAGAAATTAAATGAGTCAAGGATATCAAACCACAAGAATGCACTTTTTGTAGAAAAAA